TTGCAATATCGGGTCTCCTGACTTGAAGGCCTTTCTGGTAGCAAGGCTGGGTGGGCTGGCAGACATCACCACCTGGCCCCCAGGTGCACCCAGGACCAAGCCACCCTTCCAGTCTGAGCAGGCTGCTTCTTGACCCGAGTCCTAGGGCTACCTGTGCTTCGTCTCCTTTTCCCACCAGTGCTGGCTCTGTGGGCCCCACGATCCTCAGATCAGGAATCCGCCCTCCCTGTTAGCTTTGTTTTCCTTCTCACCCCTCAGGCCAGCCACCCTGGGCACGCGGGCCCCTGTCACGATGCCCTGACAGCCTTCTCTGCCACTGCTTCCTTCTACCCTCCCTGTCTGTCCCCACTCCACCTGCCCCTGCTCCTCATCCCTGCCTTCTGCTCTCTTTCCTGGTCTTGCTGAGGACTGCCCCAGAAGTGGGGTTCCTTTGAGTTACAGATTCACAGAGGATGCCGGGGTGTCAGTCCCAGCCTCCCCCCCAGCTTCTGCTCTCCTGGACTTGGCCCCTCACTCGGGCTAGCGCTGGTGTTCTGATCACCTGCTCTGTGACCCTAGAGGTGTATTACTTTCCCGTGCCCTCTGGTTTCCTGGGCTCTGACCTTATCAAGCCAGCTCTTTATCTAGGGCTACTGGAGATAGGCCGAGCCGCTCTGACTCTGGGTCGGCCCCATAACCTCTCCGAGCCAGGTTGTAAATGCAGTGGTGATGGGCTGCTGGGGACCAGACCTCCTGGGGTGCTGGGTTGGACCAGGCCCTGGCCTCGGATAGGCCTGCTGAGGTGGTCTGTCTGGACAGCCTAACTGCAGATGAAGAACACTCAAGTCAGCCACGCCAGGGCCTAAGGAGCTCCTCTAAGGAGTGAGGTGAGGGGCAACATTCAAGGGCAGTTTGTGAAGCCCTGCTGGCTTCATGTTGGGCTGCTAGGTCTAAGGTCAGCAGTTCAAAGTCACCAGCCGTTCTGCAGGAGGAAAATGATGCCTTTTGTCTCCTGTGAAGAGTTCCAGTCTCAGAAACCTACAGGGGTAGTGCTGGCCTGTTCTGAGGCAGGGGGTGTGGGAGGGGGTGGGGTTGGCGATCAAGATCACTTTGAGTTAGGATCAACTCGATGGCAGTGAGGGTTTTGTTTTTTAAAAGATGTGAAGTCCTCACCATTTGTAGCTTTTAGTCTGGTGGAGCAGAGACTGCCATGCCCACAGAAACCATGGCTGGTAGAAGGAGCAGAGGAGCTCTTTGCAGTGAGACTTGGGAGGAGCAGAGGTGTATGGTTAGTAGTGTGCTAAGGGGCCTTGGGACCAGGCCTACCTCCAGCCCCCTTTCAGTTTGTTTAACTTTGCCCTTTTGGCTTTTGGTTGCATTCGGTATTTGGGGCAAGTCCTGAGCAGAGGGAGGTCACAGTGAGACTGAGGGTTGCCTGGGTGAGGTGGGTAGAGAGAGCGTGGGTAGGTAGGTGGATAGGTGGGTGGGTGAAGAGTCTTCATTGTGTACCCCACCCGGCCCCTTTCTCCTGCCTCTGCTGGCCCCAGACCTGACCCTCCCTCACGGCCTTCTCCCTCAGTTAGAGGCAGCCCTGCGTCCTCCCCTGGACTGACAGACAGGATACTTGCAGGGCCATTTGTTGCGCTTTGGGTGGGAATCAATTGGAGAGAAATCTTTATTCCCACTTGAGGTAACGGCTGAGCTCGGCTCCTCCTGTACATGGGTGCTCAGTGATATAGACTGACCCGGGACTTTTGTGATTCCTGGGTTGGGGTGTCCCTGTACCCCCTACCTTCTTCTTGTTCATAATAACAGAATGCTGGCCAACAGCATTCCGGGCCTTCAACATTGTGGGTCCTCGTGTGCCAGGTGTGTGCCTAGGGAACGGGGCTCCCCTTGTTGAGGAGAGAAAGAAACAAGCTCAGAGTGGCTAGTTACACTTGCCTGCGATTTCCCTGCTTGTCAGCTCCGGGCCTCGCACACCAGACTGACTCCAAGGCCTATCTTCTTCAACCAAAGCTGCGCTGTGCAGCCCCAGGCTGGTGGCTGCAGACGTGTGTGTACACCTGCTCGGGGAGCACGAATGATGGGCTTGGGTCCCCCCCCCACACACACACACGAACACACACCCACACATACCTCCAGTGCACACACAAAGGCAGCTGGGATCTCTCTTGAGGTGTCTTTTTTGAGGGCGAGGCCGGAGGCACTGTGCTGCAGCTCCAGGGTTGGGGGAAAGAGGCAGAGGGGAACCAAGCAGAAAACAAAGAGCTCGACTTGTCTGAAGGTGGGTCAGCTCTGTCCCAGGGGCCCCCATCGAGGGGATGTCCAGAGTCACCTCAGTGCCCTGCCCTGTCCTCTCTGGCCCATGCTTGGTGCTTCTCCTCGGCGCCTGGGTCAGTGTGGCCAGCCTGGCTGGTGGCGGTGGGAGAGTGCTCAGCACAAGGAAGGAACTCACTCCTTTGGCTGCAGAGAGCTGCGCCCACCCTGCCTGGGGATGGCTTTCTTCCTCCCCGCCCCCACGAAGCCTCCCAGCCCACACAGAGCTCTCTTCTCCCTGAAATCCTTTGCCCCCATAGTCAGAAGCACTCAGCACATCGCTCTTCCCGCTGTCAGATTGCTCCACCACTAAGCGGGGTGTGACTTCCCAGAGCCGCACGGCCCAGCCCTGTGTTTCAGCCTCGACTCCCATCTTGCTGCCCCTCAGAGGGGTCACCCCACCTCGGCCTCTCCCAGCAGCCCCTTCACAAGTGCGACTGCTGCCCAGGGAACAGTCAGCCTGTTGCATTGCCCTTGCCCTCCGCTTGCAGAAGGCTCACCTACGCCGCACGGCAGCCCTGCATTTGTTGGTAAAGTTTCATCCCACATCCCCTCCCCGGGACTCCTCCCTCCATTGTCAACTCTCCCAGGCCTGCAGCTGTTGCTTGCTGGATACGCTTTTGAAGGCACTCCCGGGACACGGGGGCTGCACCCCCCTGCTCTGCCAGTGCCCACGAGGGAACCAGATCCTCCAGGGGTGACCCGTTGGAAGACAAGGACCCCTCCGGATGCCCAGTGCCGGGGCCTGGGTGCTCCACACGGGCCCGGGAGCTGCCTCGGCCACCGTGGCATGCAGCTGGTTTGTGTTGAGCTTGCCATCAGACCTCACCTGCTGCCCAAGTCTTGGTCCCATTCTGTTCCCGTGCAGTTGCTATTTGGGCCCGGAGCACAGGAAGAGAGGCTGGTCGTCCTCAGCTCCGAGCCAGCTGCTGGATTCCGGAGGTCGACTGTAGACCCTGTACCCCTGCCCTGTCCCTGTACGAGGGGAGCCCTGGTGGCATAGTGGTTATGCATTGGGCTGCTAACCACAAGGTCATCAGTTCAAAACTGCCAGCTGCTCCGAGGGAGAGAGATGAGGCTTCCTAGTCCTGTAGAATTTAGGGTTGCCAGAAACCAGAACCGACTCAGTGGCAGTGGGTTTGGACTTTCCGGTTTTGTCTAAGTGGTTGTTGACAGAGGTCCTCAGAGGTACCGGTGAAACCCATTACCCTATGCCCTTTGGGTTCCTCACGACCCCATAGGGAGGGCCGAGGAGAAGCGGCCACAGGGCTTCCCAGACTGGCCCTGTACAAAGACAACCCAGGGCATTTAGATGGGTCAGCTCCTGTAGCTGGTAGCATCCCCTGAGTGCTATTTGTGACATCCAAAAAAAAAAAAAAGCCCCCTCCCCCCTGGCTTCTTGAGATGACTCCTGGGAAGAGTGTTGCCCCCTCCCAGGCAGCATGGGCCTCAAGTGTGCCTGTGACCGCGCGTTCCACGGTGCTTGCCCTCACGACTCCTCACCGTGCGCGGTTCTTTCCTGACCCTCCACTCACGCACGGCTTCAGCCATGCCTCCCTCACCAGGTCCTGCCTCCCTGGAAGGACTGGGTCTCCCTTGGCCTACACGCTCTGCCAGGGCCGGGCAAGGTCAGACTCAGTGATGCCAACCGAGGGGTTGAGTTGGACCAGAGAATAATTGCAACAAAGATCTAAGGCGTCCGGCCCAAGACGCTCCCTTCCGCGCATCTGCTCACCCTACCTCCATCTTCTCCCCTCAGGAGCCCCCCAAACTTGCCAAAGGCACGCCCAAAGCCAGCAGCTTGGGCAAGGATGGTGGAGGCGAGAACACCACCGAGGAGGTAAGGAGGGGGGCAGCCCCCAGTGCCAACCCCTTGAAGGCTTGTGGGGTGAGAGACCCTGAGGCCAGGGGAAGGGAGGGAGGGAGGGAGCAGTGGTTAGCCCCGCTGCCTTGGCATGGGAGGGACCAGGACAGCCTGGGTCCAGACTTCTTTCAGACAGGATACCCTGTTGCTGTGGACCCAATAAGCCTTTCAGTTCTCCCAACTCCCTGGGGCTTCCAGCTGCGAGCTTTGAGACTTCTGCAGCAGGCTGGGACTGGGGGAGAAGGGTGACTTGGCCATGTCTCTGGGTGGGGCCCAAGGTTGGGAGTGGCTGCTGGCCCGACTTGGCCAGGGCTGGCCCGCACTCCCCAAGGGCAGGCAGGAGCCGAGGTCAGCAACTCCACAGTCTCAGGCTGTAAAGCAATCATGGGCAGAGGGAGCGCCCGGGGTGGTGAAGATGCCCCGCCTCTGCCCCTGGGTGTGCCCAGTGGGATGCTCAGGTAGCTGTGAGCCCGGAAGGAAGCTGGTGGCCCTCGGGGGCTCTGCTTCCTCTCTCTGCCCTGCAACTTGCCCAGGGGCCAGGAGGAGAAGGGGAAACAGCTTTCTAATTAGGGGCAGGCCTTAAGGTTTCTTAAGGCAAAGAGAAGAACAAGAATTTGGAGTTAATGATGGATTTGGAATGTTCTGGGGCTCATGCCTTTTTCACACCTCAGCCATCTGACTGGGCCTCCCCTGGGTCACCAGGGAGGATCAAGCACTGCTTCCTCTCCACTTACACCTTAATAGGAACTTACGTCCTGTCTGCAGGCCTTTCTCTGTGATAAGCTATCCAGTGGTGTAGCATTTCTTGTATCTCTCTTCTTGGCTCCTTCCACATGCTCTCCTACACCTGACCCTCACGCCCTTCTGGTTGTTAGACGTTTCTGGGGAGAGATTCTGGCCCATAGCGACCCCCAGTGACAGGGTCGAACTGCCACATGCGGTTTTCTCGGTGGTCGTATTTATGGAGCGGATCCCCGAGTCTCCAGTGGAGCTGCAAGGTGGGTTTGAACCGCCACCCTTTAGGGTAGCAGTCGAGTGCCTAGCCACGGTGCCACCAGGGCCCGTGTTGGTGGTAGATCATCAGTGAGTACTTGTGAGGCACTTGGCCCGGCCTCAGGCTGCTGCCGTTTGTTGGGACTGTAGGGTAGGTGGCTGGGCACTGCCCGCTGACGAAGCACTTGAGAGGGGTTTTCTAGGGCTGTTCTCACCTTTGCTGGGGCCCTGGTGGTGTCATGGGTACACGTTGGGTGGCAATCTGCAAGGTCGGCAGTTGGAAACCACTAGCCGCTCCTCAAGAGAAAGGTGGAGCTTTCTACTCCCATGAAGAGTTACAGTGTGGGGAGCTCCCAGGGGCAGTGCTACTCCGTCCTGCAGGGTCGCCATGAGTCGGCATTGACCCGAAGCCAGCGAGTTTTTAGCTTTTTACCCCAGCCTTCTTGCCTCCTCGCTGTTAGACTGATTTAGGTGTCTTTTTCCCCAAAAGTGATCTTTCTAGACCCCCCCTGCCCCACCTCTAAGACATATGTGGCTCGTGTCCCTGGTATTGGCTTTCCTGACACCCAGTTCCACCCCATGGCAGCACTCAACCACAGCCGTCCTTGAACCGCGGCACACAGACTCACTGTGGATTAGCCGTCTGCTGTGTGTGCTCCCGGAGGCTCGTGGTTTTCCAGGGAAGGCTTGACGTGAAGCATTTGAATACATTTTGAGTGACCGAGTGAACCAATAAATAAACAGAAGGACAAACATACAAATTAGAGCTCGGAGGGACTTCCCAGTGTAACTTAACCCTATCCTCTCACTGAAGAGAACACAGAGGGCAGACAGGCTAGGAAAAAGACCCGAGCCAACTGCTCTGTCTCCAGCCCACAGACAAGCCTGTTGAAGGCAGTGGGCTGATGTCCATACCTGGGACGGGGGTGGGGGAGTGGTGGTGTTGTAGTCACATTGGGTTCTATTTTGTGAAACCCCGCTCTGCTCTGTGAGGGGCTGCAGAAGCTCAGCTCCCGGGTTTTCTGGAAGGATACTCTGCCGTAAGAGGAGGGGAGCAGACTCACCCCACTCCCTCCCATCAAGTCAGAGCTGACCCTTGACAACCCGGTAGAACAGGGTAGAACTGCTCCTGGGGATTTCCAGACTGGAACTTTTTTTTTTTCTTAATCCTTTGATTGGGGGCTTTTACCGTTCTTAAAACAATCCATACATCCATTGTATCAAACACATTTGTACATAGGTTGCCCTCATCATTTTCAAAACAGTTTCTTTCTACATGAGCCCTTGGTAGCAGCTCCTCTTTTGTCCCTCCCTTCCCTTACTCCCCACCCTTGTGAACCCTTGATAAATTATTGTTTTCATCTCTTACACCACCCACTGTCTCCCTTCACCTATGTTTCTGTTGTACATCCCCCTGGGGGCAGGCGCGGATTATAAGTCGATCTTGCTATCGGTTCCCCCTTTCTCCCCCTTTTCTCCCCACCTTTCCCCTACCCTCATGGTATCGCTACTCCCATTGCTGCTCCTGGATTCCAGAATGCAAGTTTTTACGGGAGTAGAAAGCCTCATCTTTCTCCCAGGGAGCAGCTGCTGGTTTCAAACTGCTGGCCTTGAGGTTAGTAGCCCCACTGTGCCTCCATGGCTGCGAGGCAGAGGAAAGGAAAGTTGGGGCTGGATCATCAAGGGGATCAGTACAGTCCTTCCTTGCCCTTCTTTCTAGCCCTCCTTCTGTCCTCAGTCAGCTGGATCTACCTGTGTCCCGTGTTGGCCAGAGCTTCTCCGATTGTTCCCAATAACAATGGCAGCTAGTGTTTATTTTATTGAGCTATTGCTATGTGCCATGAGCAGTGGTAAGTATTTTACAGGCATTGTCTTGTCTGTTCTTTACCATCTGCCCCTGAGCTGATGATTATCATCCAATTTGACAGATGGAACTGAGGCTTAGAGACATTAAGTTGCTTTTACTCAGCAAATAAGCTGCATAGTAGGGAGTAGGGACTTGGTTTATCTATGCTCTATTATTATTTAAGATGGCCTGGACTTAGGGTAATTTCTATGGTTACTGTTGAGAATATCGCAGAACAGACCGGTCCACGGATTCTTCATCTCCAGGTACGTGATGTTGGGGACATTCTACTGGTTGTCAGCCCCTCTCCTGAGTTGTTTCTTAACATAATTTTTTTTTCTTCTTAACAAAAATTTACTGCCCCCGAAGGTCCCCATCTTTTGAGTTGGTGCTGTTAGTCTGATCCCATATAGACCCCGTCCTAAAGGAACATAATGGGTCAACCACAGAGAGGCCTACAGTGGGAACAATGATAACACTTGTGAGGGACACACACCTTAGAATAAGCGGGCATTTGAGATCAAAAGGCAGCATTTTCTCAAGGGCAGCATTCAGAAGGGTTAGACAAGGCTGGAGAGGAGGAACGGAGACAGGAAACGGGGAGGGCGTGGGGTTTGTAGTCAATGAGATGAAACGTGTGCGAGTGGCTGGATGGAAAATGGATTTGCTCTGTAAACCGCCACCCAGTTCACAGAAACAAGTTTAAGGGGGAAAAAAGAGCTTCATGCGCAAGACAGACAGCCTTCACTAGTAAGCTAGCCTATTGTTGGTTTTTATAAAAACTTTAGGGCATAGTTTGGTTTAAAGATTATCTCTGGCAATAACTTCAGGGGTTCATCCCTCTGTGACTCCGGAAAATCTGAATCCCATGAACACTTAACAATCTGCACGCCCCCTTTGCTCAGGATCCTTCGGTAGACTCGTGGACAGGTATTCAGGAGTGACAGCTGGGCGCCATCCCCTCTGTCTCAGGGCCACAGAGGGAGCCTTCATGGAGGCAGACAGCCTCACATCCGTTTCCTCCTCCTCTCCTCGATTCTTATCTCTGTTCTCCCAGGTGAATAGGGACCTGTCGTTGTACCTTTGGGGACTGCTTGTAAGGTTTTAAGGCCCGACAAAGCAGGAGGTGGAAGAGAAGCACTACATGCGTTATCAGGATACTGAGCAGGGCCCTAAGCCTCCGGGTCAGGGACCACTCTCCAGGGCAGCCGCGGCTATTCCTCTTGTTGTGACGGCTATAGCTGTCACTACATCTGCCGCCAGTGAGCCTTTTGTACACGTACAACTGATAGGTGGCAAGTACCTTAAGCAGCTGTGCAACCCGTCCCTTAATGTGATTTTTTTTCCCCTCTCTCCGGAAACAAAGTCTGTACTCCACAAGCAAGGACCCCTTCCTGTCCCTGGTAGTAAACTGCCATCTCCATTCCTTTATCTCTTCCTGCCTTTGTTTACAGAGTGAGATCTAACGATCATTGTCCCTTGTGACTGGCTGATTTCTGTCGGTCTAAGTCATCTTCTCCCGTACCCGCCCCCCCAGCAGTAAACTATTCCATATGAATGTCACAATTTCACTTTAATGATTTCACTCCAAGAAAGTTTTAGAATGTACCAAGAGTTACATTGTTTGATTTAGCATTGTTTATAGGAATAAAAACAACTTTTAATTATATGTCTGTTTTTAAAATAATTTTACATCTGTAATCTATAATGTTTCTTGATCCAGTATTTCTTTTTTTCAATTTTTTTTAATCTAATGTTTCTATAAAAACACATCTCTAGGTTTGCTTCGTAGAACTGGCTCTAAGGATTTGTAAACATTTCTTGTTCACATTACATTTTGTATATTTCACATGTATTTCTTTAAAATATGATGTTTATAAGACAGATATTTACGTTTTTTCTTTTCTTTAAACAAGGACTATGTCTGACAAAGAAAAGTATCTTAAAAAAAGAAACCACAAAAACAAATAAATATACTGAAAATAATTCTTGCCTTTTGAGAGTGGCTTTCTAAATGCCTGTGTTGCTGTTAGCCGGTGACCAGGGTGATTAGCACAGATCACCTGACCCCAGTCTGAGGCAACACCATCTCCCCCGGCGTGGGAGCAGTGAGTTGGGGTCGCGGAGAGGGTGTGCA